GGAAGGTAGGGGAAGGGGAATCGAGGATGAGATAGGCCTGCATAGTCTAAGGTGGATGATCATTGAGACGAATAGGAATAGGTTAACACGTGGCTCGCTGTCAGCGGACTCATCATTGAGTCTCTCGCCGTCATCAGACACGTCATCGAGTCTGCCAGCAGACACGTTATCGAGTCTGTCAGCAGACACGTTATCGAGTCTGTCAGCAGACACGTGATCTGTCAGCAGACACGTGATCGAGTCCGTTATCAGACACGTCATCGAGTCTGTCAGCGGGCATAGGCTTCGGAGTAGGAAGTAGAAGTGAATTTGAGAGAAAAATATAGCTTAGTTTTGGTAAATACTAAAAAAAATAATAAAAAAAAAAAGTCTCGCAATCGTCAAACAGGTCATAGGGTCTGGCTAACTCTACTTGCTTTGAGTTCGCTTACCTATTTGGCTGGGTTTCCCTGGATCAACTGACCAGGTTTTTTTTTTTTTTTTTTTTTTTTTTTTTAACGTCAGCTGAGTTTGCTAGTGGCGGTGATACGAGCATCCACCCCGTGCCGATGGCTCCAGTGTCTCATTCATTGGGGGACCAGCACCTGCTGGGAATCGGGCCCAGCGTGAAGTGAGCAGTTTCCCCCTGGACTTCCAGGCAATCTCGGGGCCCACGAAGTGGGCCTAGCCGAAGGCCTGTCTCTAGTGAGTGCATGCAAGACGAGAGATTGGATATCGAGCTCGAGTAAGTATGTTTTAGGTACTGGAAAAAGGAGTTTCGTTTTTCGTCTTGCGACATGGGAAAAGCTTCCATCCTTAAACGTAGCCAGAGGCCACCAAGTGGGAGAAAGTGGTTATTAATCAATGAAGATTTAAAGCATCTTTCAGGTAAATACATATTAGAATAGTAGTACAAACTTCCGCTTGGGGTGGGGTTAAGTACTCATCTTGGGGCTTAACTTTCACCCCAGTCCACTTAGCCGTTTGGTTGAGTGTTTGCCTCTTGACGTGGAGGTCACGTCTTCGATCCTTGGATCGGTGCGGATGGACAGGTTGCTGTCTGGAGTAAGTTTCACTTCACTTCACTTCACTTCCGCTTGTAATACAGCAGCACCTAACTCTTACCTGCCTTTAACTCTTAACCCAGTTAATGCGAAAACAATGAGAAAAGCTGCAAGATGAGCTGCTAAGTACATGATACCTCCCATGGACAACACAGTCCAATCCAAACCACTCAAAATCTTCATGGGACACGTCATGGAGTCTCTCGCTGTCATCAGACGACAAATTACAGAGTCTGTCGCTCCCATCAGGTGACACGTCATTATCTCTGCCTGTCATCAGACGACATGTCATTAAGCGCGGCGTCTGAGGAAGATGACAGCGAGAGCTAACCTGATGAACGAATGGACGTGTGTCCCGAGAAGGTAAAGATGGAATGGAGGAGGGGGGGAGAGAGAGGACTTGAGACGAGGAAACTACGTTTCCCAGCTACTCCAATCATTTCATTACCAAAAGGTTGGGTTTTTACGACGTGACCTGGG